TGCCGGTATTTACAGGTATGCTACTACTTTATGACAGCGGGTTTATTATTATAGTTAAGACCAAAGCGCTATTCTTTACACGTGCATACTCGAGGAAGCGCAAATATGTTAGCTTAGCATCTAGCGTGCTATGTTGTTAGCGAGCTAGCAGTCAGAGGATAACCATCTACATTTAAAACAGACTGCGGCAGCTATTTAGCTGAGCGCTATTGTAAAACAAACACATACGTGTCATTTCGTTGTCTGTTAAGTGTTTTTGGTGTTAGTCCATCTAACTTTATAATGTGTTTAGTGGAGCCGGTTTGCTAACTAGCGCCTTTAACCAAACCACCTATAGCCGCTGTCAAGCTAGTTTATTAAGGAAACTTTAACCTCTGTGTGTTTACCTGCTTTTCTAAAATTAGTAAGTTAGAATAAAAAACTAAAAACACATTTGTGCAAGTTGAAGTTGTTTTATATTGTTATTGCCTCTTAAATTGGACATTTATTTAAAAAAAGAAAACCAACTGCTTTAGCATTTATAGTAAAGTTAGCCTCATGACTGCTTCTTTTCAGGACATTGTTTACTTCAGCATGTTAGTTTTTTTTTAAACCCATAATATTATAAGCCAGTTAACGTATTTATCACAATAAAAACTTCTGTAAAATGGTAATATATTGTCTATATAGTGTAGTAGTCTTTGATCAGGGAACCAACACTGTATAGGACTGTAGCAGCTATTTTCCCTGAGGCACAAGATGCTGTGTCATACACATACAACCATAGCAGGATTGTTATGGTGATGCCACTATAAAAAGGTTAAGTATGAATATAATAAGTATGTTTTTGTTGTTTTTTTCATTTTCAGTAAATGTGAAATGGGGCAAAGAGAAGTTTGATGCAGTGGAGCTTAACACTGAGGAACCTCCCATGGTTTTCAAGGCTCAGCTCTTTGCCCTGACAGGAGTTCAGCCGGACAGACAGAAGGTCATGGTGAAGGGAGGCACTCTGAAGGTACTAAGAAAGCATTCTGTTACAGCTGGTTTAAATTTCCTCGTATGAGTTTTCATTGGGTTTATTTTAAAACTACCGCTTGTGTAACAAGCATAATGAATGCTATTGATTATAATTGCATTAATAAAGTCTGATTTTTGGTACAGAAAGTTGGTAAAAGTAGTAAACTATTTCAACTGTGGTCTAATTTTACTTAACTCTCACATTGTGACTGCTGCTGTCTACCAATTAGCCAATAGTCAACAGTCATTTCAAGTGCTACATCCTTTGTATGTTTGTCTGTATTTTCGTAGTCATTATTAAACAAGAACTCGTTGATTGTAGACACTAAAAGCTAATAGCTGTGTAACAAATGCATCCCTCCAGCTGTCTCTGTACAACTAACTTCCCCAGTTGTCCTCTTTTTTTTTTTTTTTTTTTTATAGACTTGGACAGATTTATTTTGTCATTTTGTATACACGAGTGTAAACAAAAAGAAATTTCTTTTAGAACAGCTCTAGACAGTTTCATATTTTAAAGTGCAGCCTTGAAAACAGTAATAGATACATAAAAAATAGTAATATAACTGTATATTTACAATTCTAACATTTTTTTTTTAAAATAAATAAGTAATATAATGATAAAACAAAAATAAGAGCGATTTCCTTTAAAATGCCTACAATTTCTACAAAAATAAAATAAAATGCCTACAATTTCTTTTGGTATGACTATTAACTTTTGATCAGACATGCCTTTTATTCCAGCTGATTAATGTTTCCTCTCTATTCCAGGATGATGAGTGGGGAAACATTAAACTGAAAAATGTGAGTATTAATTGTACCTGGTAGGATCATAGGTGGTGTTTTGTTTATTTTTTTAACCTAATTTCTTTCTCCTGATATCTATCAGAGTTCTATGAAATGCATATAAATTTGACACATTTCCTCCTAGATCAGTTTCCATAGTTTGTTAAAAAATAAAGTATTCAGGTTTTCTGTGGAAAAGGTGGATGCATCGGGGGAATTCTAAATATTTCACAAAAATACACCATGGTCCTGTTTCAGAAAGTGGGCATAGACTAGTCTGAGTAGAGGGCAGTTATTGTGAGTCAATTTATTCAGCTCTGTGATATTCAGGATTCTGTGGTTATGGCGTTTCTCTCTGACTGACAGTCTAGCTGCAGACAACTTGAGCCGAACAGAGAGGGTAGCAGCAGATTGTCTGACAGATGTTGTAAACCACAGACAGGGAGCCTGGGCTCTGCAGCTGTAATGCTGCGCTGCTCAACTTCTAAGCTCCAATGCAGCAAGTTTTACCTAAAAAATGAGCAGCCATGATAAGGTGACCAATTCCATTCCATTAAATAAGAGGAGAATTGTCCTGTAATATGTGTGAATATGAGCTGATCCTTCCTGAGATAAAGGTTTGGCTCAAACATTAATAGTATTGTAAACACTTGCTGTGTCCAACTGTAAAAAAAAAAAAAATAATAAAAAAGGGTTAGGATCAGTTTTGTTTATTAAAGATGAGAAGTGAAAGATAAACAAAGCTTTTATTAAAAAAGTCACAACTAGTGTGGGGGTATGACTGAGCGAGGGGGAGAAATCTTAACAGGATGATTATTGAATATCAATCTGGGAGCTTTAGATTGTATTTTCAGAGCTAGTTATTTGATTTTTAAAAAAATGTATTTCTTATAACTAATTGTGAGCATAGTCATCCAAACTTAGGTGTGTTTGTCTTCTTGAACATCTGAAAGTAAATCATGAAAAAGTAAAGAAGGCAATGGCAAACTAAGAGAGGTAAGAAGCCATGGACTGAATAATATGAGGAGGGAGAGATAATTGCTTCTTTAAATGTGCATTTTATCTGTCCATTTTTTTTGTAGTACATTCTAAAATGCTAAATTGGAGGATGGTCAAAGATGTATATATTTTTCAGGATTCTGTTGTAGACTTTGTTTGCAGTCATTCTGAAGGTTTTATATATTTTTTTATATCAATATTGGAAATACAATGCTTCAGCAGAAATGTAAACCAAAACTATTATGAGACACAATCACAGACATGGATAAAAAAGCATTTACTAACCATTGAGCCAGAAGGTAGACCT